AAAAGAATTAACATTTTTTGCAAATACGAGATACAAGTAACCGCTTTGATTTGCTAAATGAAAAATTTATATAACTTAAATAAGGCTACCACTTTAAATTTAATTCAACAGTTGTTAGAAGTTCTAGAAGAACCATTCCGAAGAGATACAACACCTTTTCATCCACAAGTAGCGCTAGTTCAGAAATGTATGATAAAAAATAATTACTTATATTTTTTTGGGTTTAAAAAAAAAATTTTAATATGTTACTCGCTTGTTTTCTTTGTTCGTCCTTTCATCATATAATAAAAACTGCCTCCGCTTCCACCGCAGAAACACATGAAAAGCTGCCTTCAATGGAGTCAATTGTAATCGTAAAATAATATATTTTATATTTTATATTTTTGTTATAATAACCACGTTGTTATATGTTCAAGTTATAACAATATTGCCAAAAATTTTCTTATTCTGTTTCGATTAGTTTAGCAATGTTGGTTATATATTTAATGCTTAACCATATTGCTAAAAATATGCTGTCATTAGTGAAAAATAAAGCTGAGAACACTGTAATTATCTGAATATTACTGAAAAAAGAAGAATCCTCCCTAAAATTTATTATTTTACGATTACAATTCTCTCATCTTGACCGTACAACAAATGGAGAGGAAGGACATTAACGGACTCGGTACATCACAAAAATGTTACTAAAATTATTATAGTCATATTACTGAGTTCACTAAATTTGTATTTTTAGTAAGTTATTTTGTTAATTTGTTATGGTAAAGAGTTTTATTGATTTATGGTAATAAATTGATTTATGGCAAACTTGGTGAATACATCTATAATAACCATGTTGTTATACAGGGTGTCCCAAAATTCACGCCCGTCCTTTCAGAATATGATTCAGCGGGCTAAAACAAATTAAATTTTAAGAATAAATTTTTTTTCGTTTTGTCCTTGATAACCGAGTTATTGATAAAAAACAAAACTTTTTAAATTCAACTAAAACTTTAATTAAAACAAAGTAACAAAGAAACATTATTAAACATAAGAACATAAAAAACATAAAAACGAATAATTTATAAAAGGTGTTCAAACAAATCGTCGCCTACTTCAATGCAAACATTCGCACGATTTATAATTGAATCACGAACCCTCTGTAGCATGTTCTTGTCTACAAATGTCACAGCAGCGTGAATCCGAGCTACTACATCCTCCGAACTCTCAATAGGTTCGATGTAAACATTTTCCTTCAAAAATCCCCAGAAAAAAAATCCAAAGGATTTAGATCCGGAGATCTAGGAGGTCATAGTACGGGTTCACCTCTTCCAATCCCACAGTCGGGGAATTTTTGATTCAATAAAGTTCTCACTTGTCTTCCATAATGTGCAGGAGCACCGTCATGTTGAAACCAACAATTTAATCTGGTTGCTAATGGAACTTGATCGAAGAGTGGCAGTGGTAAATTGTCATTTAAAAAATTAAAATACGACGCTGAATTAAGTCGGCCAGGAAGAATGTTTGGACCCATTACATTATTATTTAATAAGCCAGTCCAAATGTTTACTGACCATCGTCTTTGCTAACATCTTTTTCTTATTAAATGAGGGTTTTCATCTCTCCATTCATGCAAGTTATGAGTATTTATAATTCCTGTCTGGGTAAATGTGCACTCATCACTAAACATAATATTCCCTATAAAATGTGGCTCATTGTTTACGTTATCCAATAACCATCTACAAAAATTATTCCTAAGCACCCTATCTCCATCATGTAAAACTTGAACTTTTTGAGGTCTAAATGGATATAAGCCATTTCTTCTTAATATTCTATGAATTTGATTTTTTTGAAAATTTGTTTGTCTTAATGCAACTCGAAGACTTGTACTTGGTTCTGCCTCAACAAAATCAAGAATTTGCTCTTCTTGGACGACGCTAAGCGTGTTTAAGAAACGTATTTAATCTGGGTTTTCAATTACCTGTTTCCAGTAATCTTTGTTCAACCCGTCGTATAGTTTTTGCATCAGGGTGCCGTCTATTTGGGAATTTTTCTGCATATGATCTAGCTGCAGCACTGGCATTATCATTATAGGCACCTAATAATTTTATCATGTCAACGTATTCTCGATTAGAATAATAATGATCCATTTTTATAATAAAAAAATAAAATTCTACTTATGCCAATAATGACAGAAGTTGACAGAACGAATTAAAAAAATTTACCATCACCATAGCAACCTGCCAGTCATTTGTTTTTAGCTTACTTTGTTTTAATTAAAGTTTAATAGTTGAATTTAAATTTTTTTGTTTTTTTTATCAATAACTCGGTTATCAAGGACAAAACGAAAAAATTTTACTCTTAAAATTTAATTTGTTTTAACCAACTGAATCATATTCTGAAAGGACGGGCGTGAATTTTGGGACACCCTGTATATTTAAATTATAACAATATTGCCAATAATTTTCCTATTCTGTTTCGATTAGTTTAGCAATGTTGGTTATATTTTTAACGCTTAACGATATTACTAAAAACATGCTGTATCTTGTATCTCGTATTTTCAAAAAAAAAAATAAACTCGTAGCTCATATTGCAATGAAGAAAGATCGGATTAGCCATAGTGCTATCAAATAGCAAGTACAAAAATGACATGACTCTAACTTTGAAAGTATTAATGTATTTTACATTTTTTGCCGATTTTTGATAAACATCTTAAATTATCATAGTGTGCTACTTGTTTTTTGCATTCATTTTGGCCACAAAAGGATTGATTTTAGATTATGGGCTTTTGAAAAAGTGAGCAAGGAAGAAGTTTCATAATAATAACGGTCTGGTAAATCCAAAGAAATCCAATGGTGTTAGATCTGTAGATTTAGGTGACCAAAGCAGGTCCACTTCGCCTAATCCGTCTATTGGGAAACTTTCTGTTGAAAAAAAATTCTTAAAACAATCGCAAAATGTACAGGAGCGCCATTTAATTGAAGTCACATTTTTTGTGTAAAGTATAGAGGAATTTCTTCTAAAAGTTACTACAAGTTACTTTCTAAAAATCTTAAATACCGCTGGTCATTTAAATTGGCGTCTAAAAATAAGGACCGTTAGTCTAATTCCAAATAATTCCGGAATACACATTGTATTGAATAAATGACTATTTTCCATATCATAATAATGAAAGTAGTGGCGATTTACCAGATCGTAATTATGAAAATTGACAAAAAATTTAAAATTCATTATTAACATTAAAAGTTGATGAGTTAGGTAAAGGACGCCCTCATACAGATTGAAAGGAAAATTAAATTTTCTTCATGATAGGGTACTAAAATACAGGGTGTTCCATTTAAAATAAGCACATTATTACAAGATTTAGTTTTTCCCACACCCCTACATTTTCAGGAATATCCAAATAAATCAAAACACACTGTATTTAGGTATAGGGACCCTTTATGAAACTTTAGCTCATTTTTTAAGGATAATTCAAAAATATCATTAAATATAGGGTGTTCCATAAGAAAAAACATAACTTTGATTCACCACACTTTTTGAGACACCCTGTATGGTTAAAAATATTTTTAAAATGTAGCCCTTGCCGAGTTGCATATGCCGGCTTCAACTGAAATCTAACATTATACACTGTGTTATTTATAAGATGCGACATAGGGATTTCTGTACAAATGTGTCAAAAGCAAGCTAACTTTGTTACCAAATAACGTTCATAAAAAATAATAACAGATTTGAAAAGATCGTAACAAAATAAGTCGAAATGGACATTACATTTTCTTAAATTCGTTCTGGTTTTTTAAAAAAATGTATAATTAAGTTGAAAAAGTCATACGCCATAAAATTCATTTTTATATTACTATCTAATAATAATTGTAAAAAGGGGCGGAGCTAACAGGGTTGGTTCAATCCCCAGCAATGCAGGCATTTTTTTCTTTTTTTTGTTTTTTTTTTCTAATGTTTTTGTCTAAAAAAATGTTAAATAGAATTATTTAAAATAAGACAAGCTTATTTGAGATATAATTTTATTATTATTTAAATAAAAGCTCCGACAATTAAGTGCCAATTTTGATAACGTAAAATCTCGTTAGTAGGTAGAGCCTTTAAATTAATGCCATATTTTTATTCTTGACAAAAAAAATATATATAAAAAAAACAAAAAATACCAAAAAAAAAGAAAAAAAAATCAGCACTGCGGGGATTGAACTAGATTCTTTCCCGTTGAAATTTTCAAATATCATAGCGTCAACCAACCGACCGATTGGTCGACTTCAAACCTCTTTATTTACCAAAGGAATAACTTTTTCATGTTTTCGATTCCAGTTTTGGCATCTCCATTGTCGTTGCCGCAAGGCATTTCCCGGTGGGACGTGAGTTCTGGGCCACCCTGTATAATGGTATTATTTTTCTTTTTCGATTTTAAACTACTTTTTCTTTTTGATGAAAAAAACTAAAAAATAAAGTCATGTACACTAACAGTTGTACACTAACAGTGTGAAACACTAACACTGTTCAACAACTACACATTTTATGCTCCCTACAGTCATCTGCTCTGTGACGGTTCTTACGCCCGACACCCTGTATATTATAATAATACGCATAAGAGGAATTACAAATAATTTTTTATGGAAACTATACAATCGATCGGTTGAAAAACCAACAGACTAATTGCGAATTTACGATTAATTTACCGTAACGAAAATTACGCATAGACATTTTTGTCGAGTTTTCCCACGATTCCCAGGAAAATTTGCCGAGTATATTTTTTTTATTTTGTTAAGAAAATCCGAACTGAATCAGATAAACTAGACTATAATTAGTCGAACTAACGGATAAGTAGTAATTTAGATGGGTAATTCATAATTCGATAAAATACCTTTATGTTCGAACGTAATACAATTATAATACTATTATTTATTTATTATAAACTGAAGTATATATATAAAGCAGTTATGATTGTAATATATTCATATTTTTGTATAACTACAATAGACCTAAAGTGCTGTATTCGTATATTATATTAAAAGATGAAGATATCTCAATATAACACGGTAAGTTATTTTTATTAATTTTTATCTGTTAATTCCAGCAGTCAATTTATAAAAAGTCATGTAAAAATTAAATTATTACTTTGTAGAAAATTTAGTACAGAAATTTAACAGCAATACTAAAATTTATTTTAAAAAACACAAGTTGTCTTATTATTATATTGTTTAAGTAAAATTTATATTTATAGTTGAAAGTTATTGTAATTTTTTTGAACGACAAACTCCATAGAAAACTCTAAAACAAAAAAAATGGAAATGATAAAAATTCAAAAATAACTAAAATGACAAAGAAACCTGGATTTAAGGAAACAAAAACATCAAAATCACAAAAACATACAAAAAAAAATATTTTTTCGGAAAATTAAAAATTTTATTTTTTGAAAGTACTATAATAACAAAACCCAGTTTAGAAAATTAACACATTACAAAAAAATTCAAACTGTTAAAACCTACATACAGGGTGTGCAAAAAGTATGGAGACGGTCAATATTCTGGCAAATTAAGGTCCGAATGAAAAATTAAAAAAACATGTATTCAATTATTTTTCAAGGCCTATCCATTGATACCAAAAACAAATACCCACCCCTTAAGGGGGTAGCGGAGGGTAAGTTCAAAAGTTAGAAACCCCTATTTTTTATTGAATATTCGAAATCCTGGAATCAAAAAAAAGCAAGTTTTGTTAGAAACATTTTTCAAAATTATTACAAAGGAATGCTAAAATTTAATTTTCTAAAATGGTCATAAAATTTACCATACGGTAAAAACAAAGATTAAAGAGTAAAAAACAATTATAAGTTCAATAATTTTTTAAAAGCTATGTATCGAGGGTAATAACGACCCTCTACACCATCCCCTGAGGATGGGTCAGTAAGTAGCTTCAATAAATTTAATTTTCAGAAAATTAAATTTTTACCATTTTTTTGATAATTTCGAAAAATGTTTCAGACAAAAATAGCTTATTTTGATGCCAAGATTCCGAATATTAAATAAAAAATAGGGGGTTTTTTGATAACTTTTACACTAACAGATATATTGAGCTTTTCCATACTAATACTATTGTGCCATGTGTATCTAATTTTTGAACCAATTTCCTACCCACATTTTTTTGTATTTTTTATAAATCTACCAAACTCACTTTCCTCCCCAAATTTAAGAAAAAAGTTTAATTTTTTTGTTGTAGATTTTCATTATTTTTTCCAATTTTCAGATTACTCTACTTCTAATTACATTCAACCCAGTTTTTTCCGAACCAACATTAAAAAAATTATTCCAAAAATTAGGCGGAACCGGTTGCGGCACAAATTGCGGAGGATCCAGCGGAGGCTACGGCGGAGCTTACTACAACCAACCGGTTATACAACCAGTAGTGGAAACCCGGCCGATTTACATCGAACGTCCTGTATACGTCCAGCCCAAGCCCACCCCTAAAACCATTTTAATAATAGAAGAGAAACCAATTAAGGTCCAACCCCGACCAGTTTATGTACAACCAGTTCACCCTCACCCGGTGCACCCCCAACCGGTGTACCATCAACCAGTGCACCCCCAACCGGTGTACCATCAACCAGTGCACCCCCAACCGGTGTACCATCAACCAGTGCACCCTCAACCAGTACAACCACGACCGGTTATCCACCAGCAACCCACGCAGTGTTGTCAAGGAAATAATGGAGGTTATGGTGGAGGCGGTGGTGGAGGAGGAGGTGGCGGTGGAGGAGGAGGAGGCGGTTATGGTGGTGGATTTGGTTTCGGAGGTGGAGGAGGATTCGGGACTGGTGGAAAAAAATAAATATATGTATTTTTTGCTACTAAATGTTAAATAAAAAATATATTTATTGATCCGTAATGGAACTCTTTTCTACCTATTTTTTTTAATTTCATCAATTTAAATTTTTATTTTTAATAGAATAATATAATCCAGGATTGTTAAATTTTGATGTTTACAGTCGTTCAGGGCAACCGTGCGGGGCGAGATGATTGGAACATTCCCCATCACTTTATTTTAAAATATGAAGTCAAAAATATTTAACGGAAAAAACCCGGAATTATCTCAACTATCATAATAAAATGCATTTTTGATACCTCTATTAGCGAAAAAATGGAAGAAAATGACTTTAAAAAATCAAGATGGCGGATACCTGCGGATAGCTGTCATGTTAGAGACTTTTCAGCATTTTCTTTTAGCTAATTTAGTTTGTAAGAATTTTTATAGCCGTCAAGTTGAGCGCTGCATTCGTCTGCCGATTCATCGCGCCGAAGCCGCGCCTCTCCACAGTTCGACTGATTCTCTCTTTCTACTGATTGAAGCCTCGAACTTGGACGCTCGATATAAGTCTCTAAGTAAAATTAGTTTACGAGATATAGCAGAGGGCCATTGTTAAGGGGCCATTCGGTATATTCGCCGAATAATGATGAACAATCAAAATTTGTGTTTCTAGATAAATTATACACACGACTAGATAACGGTTTTGAATTGTTTTTGAATAACAAAGTAAATTGACAAAATATTGGTTTGTTTATATGGTTTGTGGTTGTTTACTCTCTTTTGGCGAATTTACAAATACCCACTAGACACAATTCGTTGGCAATATTCGTTTTAATACGTGCAGGAAATTAAAATAAACTCCTGGACAAAGTTAACGCAACATCATAAATTTGTCACATTTTTGATGCTATTTTTTATTTGAATCTATGAACCGATTTGGATGATTTTTTTTGTATTATAAGTTGGTTCCTTGACAATGTCATCATTTTCGTTGTTTATGACAAAATGTTCCTTTTCGATTATACCGGGTGTAATAAAAATGTTTTTTTCCGAAAATTCGTATCACCCTGTGGAGTATACTAGCAAACGAGACATATAGCAGTTGACATTAGACGGTAGATTCATCTTTTGCCAACATTTTCTTTTTTGGTTTACTTCATTATCTCTGTTATTAAAGGAGATACGCCGTTTTATAGCGTAACATGTTTTAATAGAACTAATTATTCAAACATTCAAAACCCTGTATAAAAATTGCAATTTTGCCAAAATGTAACTAATTTTTGTGAAAATAGACCATTTTCACACAAGATTTCACACATTTGAACATAAAAATGGCCATAACTTTTTAAATAATCAGTATAGTCATATGAAATCTTATATTGAGAAACTCTTAAAAACGAGCTGAAATCGAATTTAAAATAAAAAATATATCATTGCCTTTAAAAAAAGGTATGTTTGGTATGGCTTCGATTTATGGGCCACCCTGTATATTTCGAAATAATTTAAAATTATGCGCCTAAAGGTGCTTAACATTTTTCCTATTTACCTATTTACCACTATTGGGACACGCTGTATATGCGTTTATGCTCGATGAAAAAATTAGAAACAACCAGATATTAAAAAAAATTGATTTTTTTTAAAGAAAAAGATAGGATATACAGTATGTGTCACGACGATGGCCCATTAGAATTTAAATGTTAAATAGAAAATGTACCTAATATTTTTAATAAATTTATTTGACTGCTCTATTTCAACCTAAATTATGTCTTAGTAATATCTTTTTGTTAATAGAAATAGATAGACTATTTCTGAAAGGATGAAATAACGGAATGAAACAATATTATGGAATAATTCTAAATAAATAAATAATGGAATAAATTAAAATTAGCTCTCGATCCGACGCTCGTTGATGCCGTTGTTGCTGTAGGTGGTTCGCCTGTCATACTTTCGGGATAAAAACACGCCTATCTCTAGTTTCGTCGAAGCGCATTTTTACAGTTTTATTCAACTAACTTGAAATCATCTTTAATTATGACAGCAATATTTGACAGATTAATTTACAAAGCCAACTTAATACACTGAAAAAGAAAAATGCATAAATGTAATATAATTTTTGGAAATAAATATCTTCCAAACTATTAGGTTTAGGTATAGGGAAGTAAACATGAACTTCCCTTATTTTTTCTCGCTTATTTCATTAAAACAGAAAAATATGGGTGGTTCCAATAAAAATTCCTGTGTACTCTTTCAAGCAATTCCACAGGAATTTCGGCGATTGGAGTCCCAATGTTGCTTTTGAGGGCTTCCAGGGTCGTAGGACGATCATTGACTTCAGGCATCCTTCCTCCTTTTTCGTACATGAATTTTGAACAACAAAATAAGCTCTTTTTAGAGGACAATTCAATATTATTTAAAAAAATAAATAAATTAATCTTATTTGAATTTAATGCTATTTATGAGTATATTTAATATTAATACCGCGCCGCTGATATTTGATTTTGACATGACTCGTGCACCATTTTTCATAACATTGACAGATGAATCACTTTATATCGATTTGAAACTGAACTGTAGGTAATTGACGCAAAGGATACCATTTTTTCCCAAGTATTCTATCACTGGTCTTACTATTTTTGTGTAGCGATATGGGGCAATGGACAGACCAAACCGCAAGCATGTAAGTTCATATAATATGTTATTGTGAAAGAACCCTAAATATTTTCTGTAACTTTCCTCGTTAGGTAAAGTAAAATATGCATCTTTGATGTCAATAGTAGCCAAAAACATGTTTTTTTGAATAAGTCTAACAGCTGTCCTGTAATCTTCTATTTTAAAATGTGGAGGATTTATAAAAGAATTTAATTGTTTCAGATTTATAATTAAACGTTTTTCACCATTTGACTTATCTCTAAGAAATATTTTTGAAACGAACTGGTCAGCGTATAGGTGACAGGTTCGTATTGCGTTTATTAATAGCAGTTTGTTTAGTGCGGCTGTTATCAAAGTATTTTCCTCGGAAGAGAATTTTTGAAAGGAAATTCTAGTTTGCAAAGGACTACTTGTAAACGGAATTTTATATCCAGTTATATGGGATAGAATTCTTGTGTTTTCAGTAAGTTGTTTCTATTCTAAGTAGAAAAATTTTAATCTTCCAGCTAGCTGACTTACCTTCAGTATCTCCTCCCCTGTTGATGTTGCCTCCTAGGGTAGTTGAGGTTTCGCCTCCCCTCGGCGAACCGGGCCTTTCCTTTTTAAAGCTGTTTTATTGGTAAACGTTTTGAAGCTTTGACGACTGTTCACCGTCTCGTGTGGTCGTTTATATGAAGATCTGAATGACTGGGTTGCCGCTTGTTCAGGTTTGAAGTCTTTTTTAGCCCTTTCGATTGTTTTTGCCTCTTTTATTTTTTCCCATGCAGTGTTAACTTTAGCGCGGAGCAAAAATTGAGAGAGACGGTGTAATGGAGCATATACGTATGTCTAAGAATGAGAGAATATTAGAAGCAGCCACTCCCGACGTAGCGACTGGAAGGGAGGCTCGACCGATGCGCGATCGAAACAAGCGATTTTTAATTCTGTTTTTGTTTCGCTAATGAATTTCGTATTGGCTATCCCGTACCGAGATTGCTCCGCGTTAGAGTTAACACTCTGTGTATCATTTCCAAAGAGGAATTGTTTTGGGATAGTTTTTTCCACTAAATTTTTCACTGTTTTATTCAAACTCGGCATTATTAGGTTTCTTCTCATTTTTGAGATGTGGAAAGACAGGTCACAAAGGATCCTACCTGAATCACTCAACGTAGTTAACAACTGACCTTTGACTTCCTTGGATATGTTGTCTTTATTTTCTAATAATACATTTGTGGGGGCACCCAGCAGCGAGGCCACCAACAGCCACATCGAAACAGGCCCAACCATGGACGAGGCCTACCACTTCCGCCGACGAACTGTTTTTCGCGTTTGACAAAATCCTACAAAATCTCGTTATTGTTAATATAATTAATTCGAAAATAAACTGTTGGAAACATCCACACAATCATTGCACTCCCTAAAGCTGTAAGGCCTGTATTTAATTGCTTCTGAATGGCCAAATGTGCCTCGTCCCTTTTAATGTGAGGGTTCGATAGAACCCCTACCATTTCCGGATTTACCAACGGCGCTGTCAGTTATGTGCAATTATTTGCAATTATTTGCAATTATTTGCTAACGGGTAACTATCCAAAAGTTTTTGCTGTTGGTCTTTTTGTAGTCCTTGGTTTAGTATGTAGCCCCATCGTGTGCATAGAGCTGTATGCAGTTCAAAATTGTTTTTATTCTGAGTGTTGGGATCATCTCCCAAGAAAGTTGAAAATCCTGTAATTCAATTTCCAAAACGGGAGACGTGGCATTCATCGGCGTAGTCTGATCGAGCATCTCTGCCCCACTCCCTTGGCTCCGAAAAATCAACATTTAATGCCGGCTCGCGCGGAGACTGGTCATCAAAATCAGAGGCATACGTCATTATTTTTTTCAAATCTGTTTTAGATATATTTTCCGTATCGGAGCTACCGTCATCATAGTTATTTCCCATTGCAAATTTTTCCTGAAATATTATTAGATGCTTGATTAATAAAAGTAAGGCCGCTTACCGACCATTTTGTATAAATCCGTTTACACTTTTCACTTGCACGGTCTTATCGAGAGCAACATGCGCGCGAGACGCACAAACGACGAATGAGGATTATCATTGAGGAGTCACTAGAGATACAGGGGCGCTGAGCAGGGATAAAAATCTTTAAACTTTGTGCGCAAGATAGTACGATACGGCGTACTACCTGGTTATGTGATATTGAGGATTGGACGCTGAAATTTAATTCAATTATTTTTTGATTGGTAGGTCTTATTTCCGCAATATCAATGGCAAAAACTACTCCTACATCTTCAGGCCGAAGAAAGGGTAATCCAAAGATATACATTAAAAAAATTGTTATTTCACTACTTTTTTCTTTTTGATATTCTGTAGCTAAAACTAATTGTTGGATTTTCCG